GCAATCCATGTGTTCAAAATTGATGGTCTTTTCATTTACATGGATGATTTCTTTAGATGGGACTTCGAAGAAGACCTTATTGACTTTCATGGCATACTCCGCCCCCAACGTCAGGTAAAACGTTTGCAGTTTTGGAACAGAATACACTGTCCATATGATGACAAGAAACAGCAGCATGATACTGAACTTAAAATTATTGGCTTCTGGATCGACATCAATTGAGGAGCAATCATGTTACCTCCTGATGCGATCCAGAATGCTCTTGATCATATAGACAAATTTCTTTCTCACTGTAAGCAAATTCTTCATCATTGGTGTCATCTTACAGGTCATCTCAATTGGGTATTGAATGTCCTTCCATGGGCTCATCCTGCCCTTACTGAGATGTACCATAAAATGAGTGACAAAAATCAATTATTTTGCTTCATTTTTCTCAACTGTCAGGTTATATCTGACCTTTGTTGGCTTCAAAACATCCTTCCTACAGCTATCGGCATTTGATTTGTAGACAACGGCTGATGGTCAGATCACGAAGCTGACTTGGAAATATGGACTGATGTCACTTTATCAGTGGGAATTTCTTTCGTCTATCACTCTAATGCTTATATCTATAAAATTCAAGATCCCGCACCTCATTGTATAAAACCCAATATCTTCTTCTTCGAAGAGCTTGCTGTTCTTTCAGCCCTTCACCATGCTGCCTCCTTTTCTCATCCTTCTCATTGTCTTCTTATTCATTGCGATAATCTTGATACCATTCAAGCCTTTAATTCACTTTCCGTATCTGAATCCATTCATAATTCTGTTCTTCTCACTTCCGCTGAAATTATCTTGATGTCGGGAATTGATGTCCATGTTCGTCACATCAATAACAAGGATAACATTCGAGTAGACATGTCCTCTCGACTGTTGCTCAATGAATATTCTCATCATTTTTCAGACCACGTCTGCACATTCTCACCTCCGCGTGAGCTTTTGCCGATGCGATGAAGGAAGTGCTTTTAAATGCACTCGGCGGACAGCATCAAACTTCTCGATTTGTCCGCCAACCTGTTGTCTCGCTTGCACAGCTTGATGAATGCATTCAGTTTCTTCAAACCCACGCAATCAAGCATTCTACCAGGAAGAACTACTCAACTAGTGCTCGAGACTACATCAAGTTTTGTCAACTACATTCTCTTCCAGTTGATCCAACTCCTCAAACACTCACACACTACATTGCCTATACATCTGCCGCTATCGCTTCCACTCCAAAATACCTCACTGAAGCTCATCACTTTCTCATTGATATCTTTCCTTACTTTGATGACGCTCGAGCTTATCCTCTCGTGCGCACCGCTATCCGCGGTTCACTCAAAGTCCGTGCTGATCCTATTCATCACAAACAACTGCTTCATCTTCATTACCTTGATCACTTATATCACCGAGCCTTAGCTTCCTCTCACTACGATGACCTACTCTTCATCACAATCCTATCTTGTGCATTTTACAGTGACTCACAAAACTCTTTCAATATTTGTCAAAATTTGCTTTCATGGGCAATATCTTCTCACTGAGAATGACTATCAAAGTGCTGTTATAAAGTCTGAAAGAGTAGTGTCTTGGCTCCAATTATCACTCTGGGTCATGTGATTTGATCCAGAATTGGCAGAGATACTTGAATTGCAAAGGGCACTACTCATTGAAAGGGTTTTGTTGCATGCTGTTCTACCAAATGAAAACTTGAAATTTGAGTACTTATTAGAGTTTTGTCTTGATTTAAATTAGTGTGTAGACCTACCAAGGGATGCTCCAAATTGAATAAGAACAAGTCTTCTTTGATACAACCTCTTATATCTTCTGCATTCTCTTCTATCACTTTGATATCTCTTTTAATAATATTCTCAGTTCTCCAAGCTTTCTTCTCAAATGGTTTCAAGAACTGTTAATAAGATTGATTTCAGAGGACTGAATTGAGTATAGAGAAACCTCAAACTTATAACTTTTCAGTCAGTTCTTAGCATTTTTTAGAATATTTGTTTTACTAAAAGTCAATACCCTTGAAATGTTTCTATAATATCTCAGATACTCTCAAAGTTTATCATTAAGTGCATGTGTGTATAGATTGACATTGACAATGTTTTCATGATTTATCATATATCTCACTTTCATTTATTGTCTACACCCCTGCACACACTCTTCAATTCTAGCTATACTTTGTAAGAACTTATTGTTTACATTGTTTAGCTCCTTTTTTAATATTGACTTTCAATCTTTTAATCTCAGATAACTAATACTGATCTTATATATATAAAAAAACTATCTCTAGTAATTTTGGCTTCACTTCTGATATTTCATGACAGAGTTCAACATATTCAGCATAGTATAGTTGAAATTGAAGAGTGTGCATAGGGGTGTAGACAATAAATGAAAGTGAGATATATGATAAATCATGAAAACATTGTCAATATCAATCTATACACACATGCACTTAATGATAAACTTTGAGAGTATCTGAGATATTATAGAAACATTTCAAGGGTATTGACTTTTAGTAAAACAAATATTCTAAAAAATGCTAAGAACTGACTGAAAAGTTATAAGTTTGAGGTTTCTCTATACTCAATTCAGTCCTCTGAAATCAATCTTATTAACAGTTCTTGAAACCATTTGAGAAGAAAGCTTGGAGAACTGAGAATATTATTAAAAGAGATATCAAAGTGATAGAAGAGAATGCAGAAGATATAAGAGGTTGTATCAAAGAAGACTTGTTCTTATTCAATTTGGAGCATCCCTTGGTAGGTCTACACACTAATTTAAATCAAGACAAAACTCTAATAAGTACTCAAATTTCAAGTTTTCATTTGGTAGAACAGCATGCAACAAAACCCTTTCAATGAGTAGTGCCCTTTGCAATTCAAGTATCTCTGCCAATTCTGGATCAAATCACATGACCCAGAGTGATAATTGGAGCCAAGACACTACTCTTTCAGACTTTATAACAGCACTTTGATAGTCATTCTCAGTGAGAAGATATTGCCCATGAAAGCAAATTTTGACAAATATTGAAAGAGTTTTGTGAGTCACTGTATGGCTGCCATTGCATTGGAGAACTTGTCATCAGTAATGACAGATCACTATTCGATTGGAGAAAAGTGATCAAGAGAGCTTCTCTCCATGTAACCCCTACTCGCGCAGTATACACTCTTCCTTACCACAAAGGTGACCCCTTCTATCATGGAATATCTGTCATGTTTACAAGACAGAATACTGCAAATCCCCTTTCTTTACTCTCGCAATATGTTACTCACTGCGACAACTTACATGGTGCCCATTCTGCTCTCTTCCTCACTCAAGATGGCTCTGTTCCCTCCCAGTCATGGTTTGAACATCGACTCTTCACCTATCTTCCTCGCTCAGACTTTGGGGGACATTCTGCTCGCACCGGTGGAGCTACCTTTTATGCACAACTAGGCTTATTCAAAGACGTGATTCAAGCACTTGGTCATTGGAACACCGCTTCCTGGAAACTATATATTCGTGATAACCCCACCGTATGCGCACAACTCCAGTTATCTACTCTTCGACAATGCAAATAATCATTCTCGCACTCGCTCAACATCTTCTATCACCACCACCTCCCCCACACACACTCATCCATAGCTTATTAGCTATTTCTCACTGTTCATGCAGAATGTAAATTGGGGGCCGGCATACGTCGGTCCGGTGGTGCTAAAGACATTCTAGCAAGAGCAGAGGTACTGCTGGCATGCAATTACTCTTATTCTCATCATTGTCGTGGCGTGACTGTGACTAGAAATGTCCAGGAATAGGCCCGACTGGTCTCCGGTCACAAAATGGTCACCTGAGCTCGGCACCTGCTAAGCTGTGTAAATTAGACCTCGGTTACAATGAGTGATTTTTTTGGAGGGGCCTATCATTCTGAATGTAGCTGTAATTGCTTTTGTTCTCTGACGGAACTTTGTCCATTGCAGTGAATGGATCTAGTAAGCTACAGATCTGCCCAAGCTGCGACAGTGCAGATTTCAAAGGTACTTCTCTCGCAGATATGCGGGAGTAGATGACTCATATACAACTACTCTGCTTCTAGTTGACAGAATAATTGATAACAACATTCAAATGAACAATAATGAATGTACTATACCGGGACCGAAGCATGCATTAGAAGCATGAAAGTGCATCGAACCCACATATTCTACAATCATTATTGTCATCATCATTGTTTCCTTTCTGGCACATCCAGCGACAGAAGTACTTGATAGATCGATCGTGTGGCACATGAAATCCTTGTAAACGCGACCACAACTTCAGTAAGGTGTGTACAAACCTGAGTCAATCACAAGTAGGAGTTTAGCGCTTGGCGTCTACCGCAAGGACGTTCTGTTGCCGTGAATGTCGAAACAAACCTTCCTTTGAGACGTTCTTTGCTAGTGAAAAGGCATATGATTGATCGAGAGAAAGAGAAGAACCTGTAACCCAGACTCTTGACATTACCCGAGATCGGGGATAAAGTTTACAGGAGGTCATCAGTGCGAGGTAGTCATCCTTCTTCACGTATCTCGTATTCTGTTCTCTGCACAAATCCGATCAGCTCGTTATAATGGAATGAAGAAGAATGGAGGCGCACCATATGGAAGCAGTTGAGTCTTCCAACGTAACCGCAAAGTCATTCAGCAGCTGGGTCCTGAGCCATCCGGAATTCTAACATTGCGGAATGTCAGAAGAGCCCTTAACAACATAGCCGATAATGAGGATATTTTCTGGAAGGCCTACAATGATCAGGATCGACATGCACTTACGCTGTCACCGGCCACATACGTTTGCATGCTGGCGGCGCAAGCAAGCCCATTTCAGTAAATTATCACGAGGGGGCACACAACGAAATGCTGTGCCGGTAAGCAGCTGTAAGCATGTGCGAAGAGATCAAGAAACAAGTTGAAGAGGAAGCAAAGTTCTTTCTTTTCCTTCCGTGTGAATACCATTGAACGTGGGAAACAAACCAAAACGGGTCTCCTACGTATACTTGTGGTCATGTTCGATATAGATGAATTCACCCTGCGGCGTCCTCTGGACGTCTCTATTTGGCCGCACGGATAAACCTGCTAGCACTGTAATAAGGTGGTAGCTATTGGGAGCATGGACAAAGTGCATCCCGTCAAAAGAGAGCGCGTGAAGCATCAATCCAATAGACGCTGATTGTCGCCTCTATGCCAATTGCGAAACTTCACTTTGAGCAAAGGCATCCTTGCCGGCAACTGGAGGATTCCGAGGTACAGCGCAAAATTCGCTAAACTATATCCTGCATTGCCTTCTGAGCCACTTTCTACACAGCTCTTCCTTATAATCCGTAGCACGAGGCAAGCATTTTCCTTGCTCAGGATCTGAACAGATCATGCCTCAGGCTCGGACTTCCTCCGCCAGCGCTGATCCCTTTCACGTTCCTACAAATACGCCTCAGGGAAGGCGCCAACTCCCTGTCGCAGCTCATCTCAATACTACGACGGGCTTGCCTGCTGCACTATCGTCCCCCACTGTGGCGACAGATAATCCGCCACAACCTGCGGAAGGCGGTATGTAATGCTGTCCCCGTTTGACGATCGTTCAGTCTTGATCGTGATTTGATGTACGCCTTTGCTTCATTATTAGGGCCCTTCACCGCCAATTGGTCTGCATCCGCCTCTTCATCCTCGTCCTCCCTACCGTCTCAGACGCATCCTACAAGCAACCAAGTGTCCATTCCTCGGCAGCCTTCATCTGCTTCCATGATCGGTCCACCTATGTACTATGATCAAGATCATGCCGAGCCACAGGGCGACGCCGAGTTTCAACGATGGGTTCAATCCTACCCGCAGGGCCAATTTGATTTCCCAACAAGTACAGATACTGCGATTATGTCCGTTCCTCAGATGCCTTACAATCCCGGCCACCACTCTCAAGTCGATTTGGCGCCGGCGCCGATGCTCACCATGGATTCCAATGCGATGCAGCCTCAAACGCAAAACCAGTACCAATTTATGCCTCAGTATTCATCTGCGAACCCTGCTGAAAGTGCGGCTTTCCATCAACACTTCTTTCCAGCCCAAACACCAGAGCAGTCATCCATGAGCTCTCATAGTGCTCACGGTCAAGTTCCCCAGCAGTCTTCTTCGGTTGACTATGTAACTCAGCAGCAGCAGCAGCCGTACTCGCATCAAGATTACTCTCAAAGCTCTGTTCTTCCTCGCCATCGCCAGCAACAGCACTCACACAGCACACAGCACCAGGGTCCCTTGGGCTCCCACTTTTACTATAACTCACATCCTAATCCAAGTGATCCGCAGTCTCACCTCATGTTCCAACCTTATACTACTGGTTCAGACCACCTCTCTGTTCCTGGGTCCTACACGCCTTCCACTGATAACACAGCACCTCCATCGTCAATGTCCCCATCTTCATTGGCAGGTACTGATGACGGTCATTCCTTCCACTCACATACATCTCGTACATCACCTCAGCCAAATAGTGGCCCCCCTAGCGCTCCGCCCTCTATCAACATGGCAACTACTTCTCAACTTCTCCCTGCACCAAGTGCGGCAAAACGTGACAGGAGTACTGGTAGGGCGAAGGGCAGGCAATTCAACGCAAAACGACCGAGAGTTCCGGATAGCGACAGTGAATCCGAGGGTGACGACGATGGACAAGCGCAACCCACGGTGCCACCCTTGAAAGGTCCATCTGCACAAACACGACTGTACGTTCCGTCCTATAAACATACCATGCTCATGTGCTCATTTTCCGTTGCCTCTTTCTACTCCTATCTGCATCGCTTTGTGGATTTTTCATCTTGCGGCTCTGGGCTCTCTGTTGACTTTTTGTAATCTCCGGCCCTTCGTCTACTCCGGCTTGACGCCGACCTAATGCCTCTTCGTCTCGAACCGGACCACATACCGATCACGTTCTGCTCTGTAGCCCTGGAGCCTGTACGCACTGTAAAAAATTAAAGGCGAGTTTAGTTGCCACTTCGTGCATGCCGCCCAGTCATTAACCCTATTCTATCTCCTTTCATGTCTCTTGTCGCTTCCCATTGGATCGGGCCGCTCTTGCTTTACTATTAACAGATGAAATGTGATTTCCCCAAGGACGAGAACACGTGCAAACGATGTAAGTCAAGTGGACATCACTGCATCGTCGAAGGACGCAAACCCCGTAATACACCAAAGTAAGTTTTGTCTCGCTTTTTTTCACTCTTCGCAGTCGTCAGCTACCATTTCGGCGCCTGGAATTTGATCGTGCTATGTACTTCATTTCTTTTTAAGCCAACCACGGCTGGACTCCTCTGCAGTGTCTCCCTTCAAGCTCTTCCCCCTCACCCTTTCTACTTAGTGCTATTATTTCATGGGTTCTCATTCTTCCTCTGTTGATGATGCATCATCAAACCCCTCGCTGATTACATCTGAATCCAGCAAACGAGAATATTTGCTCGCTCAGATTCGCCAGAAGGATGCGGTCATTGAGTCGTTGTTGAAGCAGGTCAGTTCTGTTGCCGCCCATTCATTTCAGCCTATCACATCATCCGAACGCTAATTTCTGGACTCTGTTGTAGCTGCATAATCCATATCTGGCAACCCCTATGTCCATTGCATCTTATCGGATGGCTACGTCCCCTTCCGACCAGAACAACCAGAATGTGTTGGCTTGGTTGGATCGTATGGAGACCAGTGTACGAACTGCTGGAACGTCTGCTGGGACCAAGGCATTCCAATTGGACTCCCGCACTCGGCCAGACGTTGAGGATGACTCCGATGATGAGTCGGACGATGCAAACGACGATCCTACGGAGCGTGGTACTGTCGTGGACTCTCAGGAACGCGAAGACGCGAACAATGATGACGAGAAGCTTTTCTCGATTCCGGACGCTACGGTTCCCATCGGTCTTATAGCGAACTTATCCCTTGGTAACAAGAAGAAGACGAAAGCGAAGGTAGAGGATCGTGAGACCGACGACGACGACGATCTCGTAAGTTTGACAGAAGGACTGATGTTTCAAATCGGCGACCCTTACTATCCTATTCATATTCTAGGGGGTGGCGAACAGGACATACTTCGCGCCGGGTTTGTCGACTCTTGCTAGCGTCAACGAGCAACGGATGCTGACTGTGGCTCTCAATAGGCCCTGCATATGATCTTGATGTCCGGGCAAACTTGATTGAGCAATACAGCCCCCCAGAGATCATTGTGCATGGACTAGTTACTCCGGATGATGTCACTAAGCTTTTTGAGATGTATGTATTCCCGGCATGCTGCGAAGTTAAAGGGGATACTGAACGGTCGTTCTCAGATTCTATGCTCGCCTCAACGTAAGCGATGTCATGAGAATTGCTTACCCCAATCTGAATGTTCTATCAGGTCCACGTTTCCTTACTAGACCCGGTGCTTCACACCCCTCAGTCCACATTTGCAAGGTGTCCGTTCCTGTTCACAGTCGGTACGCGTTTTGCGAGCTTCCATGCATCATGTTCCGTGCTGATGTCATGTGCCACCCCAGTTTGCGCGGTCTCTTCAAGGTTCTATGCCGCAAAGTCGGAAATCTACCCGATCGCAATGCACTTTGCTAAGCATGCGGCGGCCAATGCCATGATTACAGGTACCTTTTAGACTTTAATAGATTGAGCTGCTGATGCCGATCGCTTATCAGGTTGGAAGTCTGTTGAGTTAGCCCAAGCTTACATTCTCTTGAGTATCTTCGGAGTTCCTGCCAAACGATGGGAAGAGGATAGAAGCTGGCTGTACATTGGACTGGCAATCCGGTACTTGCCTTTCACACCCTAACGACATCTCGTGCTGATGGATTCATTCCAGGCTTGCTACTGACCTGAACGTTCAACGGGTATCGACGGTGAAACCCACTTCCGAGCAGCACGAACGTGAAATTCTCAATAGAACACGGTTGTGGATCAACTGCTACAACCTGGACCGCTCGCTTTCAACGCAATATGGCAAGCCGTACTCGATCAAAGAGGACTAGTGCGTAAACTATCTTCGTCATGCCTCCAGCGCTCACATTGTTCTTAGTGTAATCCGCACTTCATCGGACTGGTACAGGAAATCGAAGTACAACGACCCGGTAGGGCTACGACTGCCTTATTTCTTTATATTTGTGCTCAACGAACTTTCAGCTCGATGTTGGCCTGTGTGGTTATAACGCTTTACTCCGGATTGTGGCAAGGTTCCATGACGAGGTCTTCTCCGATCCTAGCACGCCTTCCGGACTCAACGAGGTAAATGGAAGCTCTACTTAGGATGATTGATTGTACTCATATCCATACCAGCGTGTGAACTTCTTGCAACTCGCCCAAAGCTATGACACGGAACTGAGTGCCAATCACGATGAATGGCATGCACGCTATACGGAGGCTACTGACCTATCTGGTATGACGCCCGCCCCTTCTAGGTCGCAGTGGAACAGTGTTGACCTTGGCTATGAAGATCCAGCGTATGCGCTCCGAATGAGCTTGCTTCCCTTGTGAGCAATTTTTCTGCATCAAACTCCAGCTGAATCTCATGTCTACCAGTGTGACGAGCTATGCTCGTCTCGTAATGTATTCATTTGCCTTTCAACATGCCTTTAAGCGTGGTTTGCAGCCCGATGACAGGGTGATCATTGATAAGGTACGTCGGGGATCTCTTGGTCGCGTAATGTAACTGACGAGCGAGGTAGTGCTTTACATATGCCGAACAGGTAATAAGAGGAATGGTTCATGATTTGGCCCCTAGTGGTTTCATGAGGTATTCTCCAGATGGTATGGCTCCGTCATTCGAAGTTCTGTAGTTGACTAAATGACCGACTATGCTCACATAGGCCACTTCGTGTTTGCCACGTTTGCCTCCGCGTTTCTTTTGAAGGTATGATAGATCCTTTTTGAAGTTCATGTGTTGCCTGATAGTCTGTGTTATAGCTTCTCAGACGCGATTTTACCCCATTCATCACCAACCAGCAACGAGATGAGATCTTCGATTTGATCGGAGGATTAATCGACGTACTCAACTCCCCCGAGATCGCTATCGACGAGCGTCACACTCCTCGACTTCATGCTCGCTTCCTGGCCCAGTTATTATCTAAACACCGGCGCAATGTTGTACACACGGAGACATCTCACTCCCAGAACCCTCCGCAAGGCCAAACTTCAGGTGGACCCCCCGGCCCGCATCCCATTCAGCCTATTCAATCATCAACAAGTGGTGCTCAGATCTTCTCTACGCCGCAGGCTCAGGGAGGCACGCAGGGTGGACAGAATATGGGTCATTCTCAAGGAACGTCGTACCGCAATCCGTCGCCTCCAGTCATTCCTGTGACACCGACAGTCGAGCCCGGGTACACAAGCCTCTTCGACCCCACGGAGTTTGGATCCGAGTTCGAAGCTTCATACGGAGAGGAGATGTTCCCTGGCGCGCTTCAAATATTCAAGAACCCAACGTATTGGCAGAATGCTTTAATGCCCGGGTGAGTCTGACGCTTGTGTTGTGCAGCAAAAGTTGAACTGACATCGCTCATCGCAGGTTCACATGGCCAGAGACGCGTTCGCATGAAGCTACTCAGTATCAAGGATACCCTGGCGTGCCAAGTGGCTTCAGTAGTCTCCAGGCTGCTGCTGTCTCGATGGGCTAACTTCTTTTCACTCTCGCCGCTGTACTAATGAATTGTATCTGTATCGACACTTGCATCGAACTGTAGACAAGCACTACCTGTATCGCCAGTTATTTTTTATTTCTCGTATTATCGGTCAGTAATTTAGGTTATCTACGGCTTGACCAGTGTATGTCGACAGTAGGCGTAACAGTCTTTGCTGGGACCTCATCCTGTTTGGGGTCCCGTACTGGTAAGCCTGCCCTCTCTCCGTCCACCCCGCCGCGTAAATCCACATAGAATTCAGGTGTCATGCCGGCCTTCTCTCTTGCCTCCTTATTGAAAGGACCTTTGATGTCACCTTTCCAGCCCTTTCGCACCTCTTCCCTGAATGTCTGCACCGGGTTGACACCTTGACGGTCACACATCCAAGTAAACCATCGATGTCCAGCAGTAACATGCGTCACTTCATCGGCATGAATTATCTCCAAGACATCGACGCTCTCGGAGTCTCTCGCTCGTCTAAACTTTTCAATAGTGCCCGGGTTAACGTCAAGACCACGGGCCTCATGTACAAGGTGAATGATAGCCAGACGGGCGCGAAGCGAAGAGAAAGTCGCTCGAGCTGAGTCCCACAACGAGGCATGTACAGGCAGTGAGCCGTAGGGCGTTGTCGTCGATAGAGCTGAGAGTCGAGCTGTCAAGAGGGTGAAGTGCTTTGATTCGTCAAGCGCCATCTTAGTAAAATCTGAGAAGAACGCAGGGGGTAGCTCAGGATGTTCCGGGCCATATCGTGCGATGATGTCCCATCTACAGTGGGTCAAAATGGGTCACATCGGGAATGGGACGATACATGAACTTACGCAAGATCGATTCTGAATAGTCAGGTATAGGGATTGGGTTAACAATCGAACGACTCGGCATGAGTAGACATGAAGCAGGGATGACTTACGCCCATTGCTCTATGTTGGCTAGCGCGTGTAACATGACAGCACGATTTTTCCGTCTTGCCACTTTAGTCGGATCCACTGTATTCTTGGCATATGACTCAACACGTGGTGGAATCTCTGGCGGCCGAGGTACATTTGAGGCTCGATGTCCGATTGATTTTAGCTGCCCCGTTCGGAAGAGGTTCACGGCATGCCTCGTTCTTTGCACCTGCGACAAACGTGAGCTTAAGTGACAGACGGACGGGCTCGCTAGAAAGCCCTTGACCAACCTTTAGAGCTGGATCAGCCGTGTTGAGAATTAGCACTGCCCATTGCACTAATGTAGTCGGCATATTTTCTGCAGGCACAACTTCCTCCGGCTCGGCTGGAGTTGTGGCTTCGGCAGATGATAAGAAGAGATGGCTGAGATCCAGTGGAGGCGGAGGCGGATCCGCAAAAGCTGAAAGGGAGAAAGAATACATTTTCATTGAATGTTAAACTGACATAGGAGCCCATACCTTCCGAGACTGGACGTAGTTCTACCAGACGCCAGTTAGTGCCGCCTTCGGGAGTCTCCAGCCAGACATCACCTAGCCCGTTCTCATTCCCTCTGACTTCAATAGTATACGTGCAGGCTTTCATTCCGGTGTCACTATGCCCCGTCCGTAAGTCAAAATCGTACCTAAATTACCATTTGCCACAATTAGCGCACATCGTCGACAATGGACCGATAAAACCTGGCACGTACTCACCGATGCCACGGGCAAACGAGTATCAAATTGTCGTCGCAATCTTCTATATCAGCATGGGAAATGTCTGCACCTAGATGAGGACAGTGGGCCTCCATAGCGTATAGCTGTTGGTCGTTCTTGTCATTGAGTTCCGAGTCTTCATCATGGGGTACATCTCGAGAAGTAGATAGACGAAAGATGATCAAGGAACGGTATTTGCCTTCCTGTGACCGCAAAGTCACCAAAAACCGGGAATGAGTCAGCAAGTGCTGCGATGGTGCAACTCTACAATAAGATCAAGCAGTCAGGCTCCGGTTTCTATCTTATGAACGAGTGCTGCTTACAAAATCTCGGATGCCATTTGCGCAGTAGCTTTTGTAGCGCAAAATGTAGAAATGAGTTTATGGAGTTGCTACACCGAAAGTAAAGATCTGATTCAGGTCTTGTTAGTCCTGTCGAATGGATCCGGTCGTCATCAGTGAAGAACTGCAAAGTAAAATATGACGCGAAACAATTTGGGCTTACCTATCCTGAAATGTTTCTGTTAGGCAGAGTACCGAGTTTTGGGTTAGATGGCAAGCGGTTGGCAAGATGCTTTCTGTCTGCGAACTTCAGGAAAGAAAGGTTGGGACAGAAGGCACATTGAAGGTATCGGCGTCCTTACCGGCGAAGATCGATCGCAGTGATCCGTTACGCCGTTCCTCCTTTTGGCATGCGCGTACTAGGTTCGTGCATATTTATATAACGTGTGAACGTCCGAATTGTCCACCATTTTGTCTTGCATATGGGAGCCACACGTTTTCATATTCCTGACTTGGTTGGGCTATGTGGCCCAACGTTCGAGCTACATGTCAACAAGAATTGTCACAAAGTTGCTCAGACTTCGCAAACATGGGCTGCGACGGCAGGCTTCCTAACCGGAGATGAAATACATACACTGGATGGCTTGCAGCTACCACTCCTAGCATCTCTTTGTTTCCCAAGTTCTGATATAAATCAACTCGAAATGGTCACAAAGATTATGATACTATTCTTACATTGGTCCAAGGCGTTTGATCCTGCCAGTGCCGGAGCGTTTGAACGGTGAGCCACGTATAGTATTACAACTCGATCTCATAGCTTATTGAAATATACATCTCTGTCTTTGGCAGTCTGTGGGGCCAGCTCTTGCGCGAGACACCATCAAAATGGCAGAAACGATTTAGTGCACATCTGCAGGAGTTTCGCCAAGCACGCACCAGCACCCAATCATGTACAGACTGCGAACATTACAAGACGTTTTCCCGTAGTCACACTGGAATCATGATGACCTTCGATTTCGTCGAATACACGGCAGGTCTACGTATACCTATGGAAGTCCACGCATCGTTGGAATTGCGTTCAATTGAACAATGTGCGCATGATATCATTGCATCTGCGAAAGTTAGTTCGTTATTTGTTTTCTCTCCTTATTGAACTCAGTTGAAGACACTAGGACATTGCGTCTTACAACCGGGAGCAATCAACGTCTACTCCTCACAATCTTGTCGCTGTCATCATGAAAGAGAAGGCATGCACACTTGAATGCGCTATCGACACGGCGGAGGACATGCTGAAGAAGTCCATTGAATCGTACCTGGTCGTCGAGAAGAAACTTCCTTCCTGGACGCCAGAAATCGACGAGGATCTGCATAGATACCTACAAGGACTTCGCGACTGTATCATTGGTGCCATTCACTGGCTATACGAGACCGATAGATACTTTGGAGATAAGGGGGAGGATGTTAGAAAGTTCGGATGGGTATTCTTGTTGGCCAAGCGGACTTAACTATCCACTATCGACGAGTCCATTTGCATTTCGCTAACGGATCCTGAGTACGCTTGCTAAAGACCGACGAGATCCTCTTAGGCCTAGAGGTTGTGTGAGAAGTAACGTTAGTAATAACAGGGCAGAGAGAGATATTTATATGGCAACGTGAGACTGAAAATGAGTGAAAGTGAACCTTCGCACCGTCTTCCGAGTTCTTCTTTGACGAATATTTTGTAATTCTTCGCCAACATGGATAACACTATCATGGGTCCCTCCAGTTCGGCGAACCTGGTTAATGATGAATAACCCTCCAAAAATGAGAAGAGCAAAGAGGTCATGGCGCACAGTCTACCGATGCAAGACATAAATCCGGCACCGAATGGAATGAGTCCGCGAGGAATCCCTTATCGTTGACCTTCTCAAACCATACTAACCATATGTTTCTAACAATCAGCTGCCGTCAAGATGACGTTGAATGACTTATAAAGATCGCGTCCTTTGAGTACAGAGAAGGTCAGTCTGACCTTTCAACCGTCTTCAAGCAGGTCCAGTGCCCAGCCTGGAAAGAGTGCTTTGAATCACACCTTGCGGAGACGTTCTCAATTGATTTATGAATGAGGAACATGGTAGATAGATAGACACAATACAATGTGCCTTCCAGAACTTAAGAATAGCTCCCTCAAGTTCAGAGAATGGCTACTAGGTATTGAGTCGTGCGTTTGAACCCGTATCCACGGACATAACGATTGATTGAAGTCGGTGCTGAATTGCGCACGCTTGATACCACACGACCTCAGGACGAGGCAACTTGCGATTGATAGCCTGCAGCAATTGTCGATATCAACCAACAAATTTGAGTCGGGAAGGTAGTAAAGATTATTCCGTAAAGCAACCAAGCCTATATTCTTGAAAAGCACCTCGTCAGCTGGAAGCTCAATGCAACATACGATCCTACTTGATCTACAGGATATCTGTGCGGCAATGGAGGTACTAGAGTCAGGTACAGGAAGAGTTTTGCGGGCCGGGCCGAGGTTAGCTCGGCGCGCCATCTGATGTGCACCGCTCGTCTCCTCATAACTTGGCTGCTTTCCCATCCATGCCCTCCCCATAATGACTGTATGACCCTCGGAAATTACACATCGTGACCACTATGAACCGTACAACATATCCCTCCGACACCCCAGTCACTACTATTTTCACGGTGCCTCTCCAGCATGTTCGTCACGACGATGAAGGCCTATCTATACCAACTCCAAGGCAATCGACCTCGCGTCGTGGCACTCGTAGGCTCAAAGTACCAACCCCTTTGCAGAGTCTCTACCTAGGAACCAAGGAAACCATTCAAAATAACACGGGAATGCTCCTTGTAGCCGCTTCTCAGGTCTTCTTCTCTCTAATGAACGTAGCTGTCAAGAAGCTCAATAGTTTGGATAATCCGGTTCCTGCGCTAGAAGTAAGTGATTGAGATGAACTTGCGCGGTTTTTGCTGATCGACCGCCTTGAAATATAGCTTATCATAGTGCGAATGGTGAGTGGCTTATATTTTGAATGATCCAGTTATTCAATTGCTTGTGTATAACCAGGGCATCACATGGATATGTTGTGTATCCTACATGTGAGTGCAGTTGATACGTCTGCTCCACAATTCAGCTGAACATCCAAAGGATGATTGCCAAAGTTCCAGATCCTTTCCTGGGGCCTAAGGGGGTCAGACTCCTGCTCGCTTTGCGAGGTTTTGTCGGGTAAGTCGCGGCCAAGGTGCAAGTTCTCTCCGGGCCCCAAAGCTCCCTATATTGCATGTCCTCGGTTCTTTCCTGTATTTTGGCTTGTTGCGCTCAAAGATCTGCATGCGAGGATCGTAAAACTATGGTGTCGCGTGCTCCCAGTGGTCTCTCTACTCCCTCATGAGGAGCTTGAAGTGCCTGACGCATTGGTGACGGCGTCTCTCGTATATCAAATCAGCGGCTTCCCGCGGGTATTTCAAATCCCCATTATTAAAACTTCATATCGGATGTGAGTGTCTCGACCTGCTCGTGTCTTCCGCATGCTGATTTAGTACGATGTGAATAACCCCCGTGTTCTGCATTGAATAGTACTCGAAGCAGTGTTCGATGATTTGTTACAATCCACCCTTTGCTTGTTGTTCGCTTTCCTTCTCACGAAGCGCGAAACTAATTATCGGCAATGTTGGACGCAGAGGCGGGGCATTAACCTTGTGGACATCACGTATCTCGTAGACCGACGATCCTCGTGCACGCAAACAAATCTTGGGTATTATGGAACATGCATTATAGGGAGCTTTCGGGGTCTCGCATCATTCTATTGACTATGGCATACGACTGAGATCATTATCTCTCTACAGGTTCTTCGGCCTATTCGGAGTGTATTATTCCCTACAATACCTATCACTCTCGGATGCCACAGTACTTACATTCCTCGCCCCAATGTTCACTTGTGTGACGGGTGCACTGATATTGAAAGAAGACTTTCATTGGAAACAGGCGGTTGCTGGTCGTAAGCTTCGATCTTATTTTCCTGCCTCTCCGATCTACATTAATCGATATTTCTTTGCGGCACAACCTAGTTTGTAGCCTTTTCGGAGTCGTTTTGATCGCACGGCCAGATTTCATATTCGGTCACAGAAAGCATGATGGTATCACCCATCTTGTGGAAGGTGTTGACCTTGACCTCAATCCTACGGATGGTGTACCTCCTACCCAAAGACTAGTCGCCGTTGGGTATGTAGAAGGGTACATTTTATATTACAGACGGTTGCTGACATGTACAATAGGGTTGCTTTGATCGGAGTGTGTGGTGCAACAGGGGCTTGTGCGTTGCTCCTCCGCAACTTGAGAAAAATCCAAGTCAACTAAGCTTGATACACACAGACACAACCATTCGGGCAATCGGGAAACGGGCACATCCCATGCACAATCTTGTCTCGTTCTCCACACAATGTGTCATTGTTGCCACTATAGCGTATGTTCTCCTTCTTACTTTCCCGGACGTCAGCTGATTCGCCCTTATCTGTCAGGATGCTGGTGCTGCACACACCAATAGTCCTACCCACGCAACTTGACTTTGCCGCCATGCTTGTCATGATTGGTCTCTTTGGCTTTTGCGCTCAAGTGGGTCTATGAGCATTATTCTTAGCGTATGATGCTGAGCTTGTTTTTGGTCAGTTTCTTTTAACGTTGGGTCTCCAAAGGGAAACTGCAAGTCGTGGTACTATGGCCGTCTACATCCAGGTAACCTATAAAGTCCTTTCTGCTAACGTCATATCTTAATGACGTCTCTGCTAGATCATATTCGCAACTGCGTTCGAGAAAATATTCTTCCACACAACACCTTCACCGCTGTCCATCATCGGCACTATCATCATCATGTCTTCCGCGGTCTATGTTGCTGTGAGCTTAACTTTCATCCCTTTGCTTCAATGGATATGCTGAACCATTACATATCAGGTTACGAAGAATAGTAGTGGTTCTATGAAACGTGCACAACTCCAGGCTGCAATGTTAGAAGATATAACTCTGGAAGAAGGCTTACTAGCTAACCAAGAAGGAGACGATGAGTCTGATGGTCAAAAGGCAATTCCACTTCAGGATGTTGTCATCATGAAAGAGGTGCCCGAGCCTGTGCATACCGAAAGGGCGAGCCTGGACAAATTGTCTTCGGGTTAAATATCTATCGTCAGGTATACTAGAGGGAATTTGATTGCTTGGATTATTATGGGACCTTTATTTCATCATGTAAACTAGAGGGTCTCCTGCGCGGATTGATAGAAACGCTAGTGATGAGAAATGTGGTGAGTGGGGTGTTCATCACACGGGTCTGGTGCTGCATCAGGCTGCATCTGGATCAAAGGCGGCTTGATAGGCTGTTGCCGTCTTGCATTCTACAACCAACAACTACAGTAAATATTGGCATGTACAGTACACGAGTATATAGTCTTTTCTTTGATCATTCGCTCAGCTCACGACTTCCTCCAGAAACCCAATGGTAGGCACAGACGGATCCCCTGCGACTCAGTACTCTGACCTTGAGCATTAGGACACGCTACCTTTGGAGCTCCTTGCATACATCGCTGAGTTCCTCTCGGGCGATTTGGAGTATCTAAAGGCCTGCACACTCGCCTGTTCGATCTTACGATTCGCCTGTCGTCCACTTGTCCTTCGTACCATCTGTATCAACAACTCGGAACAACTGGACAGGTTGTGTGATTTACTTAAGGAGGAACCCACGGTTGAGCTATAGGTGCAACATATATGTGTTAGGGGTCGCGAGTTCGCCAAGGCTTGGGGAACAACAGAGCAGCTACTTCCTCCCTCCGACGTTGTACCTCGGCTTCAGATCTTGGCGTTCCGAGATGTCAACCCCCTAGAGGTTAAGACAAGCCGACCGCGATTTTTAGAAAGTCTTTCAGGGTATCCCGGTATTCGTACCCTCATCGTATCGGGATGCGAGATGGGATATCCATATTTTCAAGGTTTACTATGCTCGTTCCCACATCTCGAACACGTCCGTCTTGAAGACGTCGCGCTCTTGTGGGATCCTTCTGATGATGTCACTGCAACGTCCTGGCCCGCTCAGCCCAAACTTCGAACTCTCGAACTCACCAAAGTAATTGGCACTCGCAACATTTGCCGATGGCTGAAGTCTACCAGTTCCGTGCATTCTCTGCGACGCATAGTCTTGTCCGCACCGGTCAACGGAGTTGTAAACTACTGGGGTGCTTCTGGCTTAGAAGACCTGATGGTCGTATGTCCTCTGCATGAAATTCGCATTGAGTTTGTACCATTCGATCTCCCGAATCAGTGGCGTTCAAGTGTGTTCCATTTTTAACCTGTTTGAGCAAGTACTGATGACCAGTGCCTGCCCTGTAGTTGATATTCAAGTCAATGAAGACGCCGCGATACGAAAAACTATGACAGTCTTTCATGGTCATAATACAGATGGCTTCTACTGGTTTTCATGGCCTACATACTTCTTCAAGCCTCATATGCTTCCTCTAATCACCTCAGTCATCGTGAGGGACCGATTTGGATGGATGACCTGGAGGCGGTTGAAACATTATTTGCACATGGATCGAACGTACTCCGATCCGAAGTATTCATCCTTGAAGGAAGTCCGTATCATTTACGATGGACCAAGAAACCTTGCAATTGCCTCGTGGAAGTTGCATCGCGTTTTACGTCGAATTCGTTCGCAAGGCATTCTGCATGTCCAATCAAGTGATGAGTATACGCGACGGAGATCAAAGCCTTGGTTGAAAAGGATCCTCGAAAGGTTTACACACCGATAACGAACCAGGGCGTTGAATGATTGCGTTGAGAAAGATGCTTAGTTGAAGATGTATGAACGAAGATCTATTTGCATAATATTTTTCCCTCTCAAGTACGTTGCGTAGAGTCATATGCACCTGTGCCGCACATTATGTCATGCTCTCCGCCACATTATCCACATCATCATTTGCGATGAACCCTTCTTCGATGGCAATGTCTTCTTCACTAGCAATGTTTGTGTATTTATGTTGCATCCCGTTTGTATTCTCCTTCGTTACCTGAAACGATACATGTCAGACCAAGTTCTCACAGTAATGCCCATACCTGCTCACAGCGACGTATATGGCAGCGGAGAGAATGATGATGATACCCAAGGCGGATAAGGGAGGAGGCACGATGCGGAAGAAGAGATATTCGAATGCGACTGCAAATACGATCTATGAGATCGAGTCAGTGCCACAAATACTTCACTAAGCATAAGGACAAGAATTACGTCGATATAGATAGCCATGGTCCCGCGACCGGCGGTTTCACGTTGTAGACCAAGTACAAGGAGAAACTATACATATAGATTTTCGATGCTCACTCGTGAAGATCATGGTAACAACCAACCTGTCCGATGAATCCAAAGATCCCGATCAAGGCTAGCATCGTGATAAATGCGAAATTCTTCGGTATTCCTATGGGAGTCTGAGACACAATCATCCTGCAGTGGACTTCAACATGAAACGGCCCAAGTCCAACGAGTAGAGGTCGTACATGATTGGCGTGACGATAACGCATTGGGTAGAGAAGGACACAAGGTTATGCATGGCATGCGCCCTCTTACCGATGGCTCGGATTGTCGTATCTACAGAAGAGAGATCCGATTAAGACACAATGACCATACTACTTTTAGTTCGAGAGATGACTCACAAGCTCCCGTCGCGCCACACACACCAAGAAGAGACACCCTAATATGGAATCAACAATTGGTTTCGAGACCACAGGTGTGAAGCTATACCATACCCGACCGCAATGAGTCTCTGAGTGGCAGTGACCGCCCTACCAGAACGGTCCCCCTGACCCTTGTGAGCGTGCTCACCAAAGAGAAACTTTGGTCGGGCAATGAGCACAACTCCAACCAAACTCAAAACTAGAAACAGGCGAATATCGTCAGATCGGGAGTCCATGAGAAACAAAGTAATATACCAACATCCTGCGACAAGCTGCTTTAGTTGAAGATTTTCGTTCAGGGTGAGTGCTCCCGCGATTGCAGTACACATCGGAGTCAAGAAGGTCAAGATGGTGGCATCCGATAAGGAAAGGTACTGCAACGAAAAATACAAGCCGAAGAGATCGAAAAAGCTGAAGAAGAAAATCCGCTTCAGCATGATGTGTAGCAATTGAATGATGAGACTCAAAGCGTACCCAAACAGCCCTCGAAGTATCAGGAGGATTCGAACACCTTTCGGCCCTCTGAACGGATCTGGCACCCTCGTCACGAGCCTTCACGTATTACGCAGTCAGCGAGTATACTTACCATCTCGGGTGGATCAAGAGCTTACGAACATGTATGATACACAACATATCCAAGTTAACATAATCTGAAGCATTCAGTCGTTGTCGGTATCAATTCAAGTGTACGCTTTTTGCATACCATTCGTACAACAATCAACTTCGTGAGAATTGTCTTGAGGCTTCCTAGTAATCGACTATGTTTATCAAACATACCTCTAAGGCAGGAACCGAATCTTCCAAGCTACTCAGCTTCTTCACAAACACGTTCATCAACGAAAAGAAGGCCTGCGAGGCCGCAATCAACAGCAGTCCAGTATTGTTGTTGAAGACAGTTTTTGCGCCGAAGTACCAGGTATTTAGACGAGTGGCTTTTGCACAATGTGGTTCCTTCGAACTTGAGGTTGTTTGCCGGGCCTGAGGGTTGCCTGGTTCACCCTGCACCGAAGGTGCGGGAGGAAAGGAAAACACAGTAGAAATAGGTGTGCCCGAGTCGTATGTCGTCCGGTTCGTACTAATCATTGCTTCTCAAGGTTAAAAAATGAGATGTGCAAACCGATAACTGATATTTAGGAGCGATAAAGGGCGTTATTGCATTGATTGAGGAACCAACGGGGGTCTCCGATTGGTGCATGGTACCGTAAAAGCGATAGACTACGGTTAGTCACGGTATCACTAAGTATACTATCAGCACATGATCCAAGAAGAACGTATCCATGAACCAAGAATATGCCTGCGAAACTCACCTCCTTCGCTCCGTTATTTTTGGTAGACGAACTTGAGTCACTTTCCCAAAATCGACCGAAGCGCTCTCTAGTGTGTCAAGGTTGCCAAACGCGAATGCCAACTTCGCTATATCCTTGTAAAAAGGCGCATAGAGACAAAGGTCGTTTGCTTGCGTCGATTCATGTCCGAAACCTTCAGAGTTGGATGTTAGTTCAGCAAACAATTTGAATATTTTGAATTCGTTGTAAAACGACAAGATCTGGATCTCGGCAAAACCCCCTTCCAAACTTACTTACCCAAAAGGAATCCCTCCCCACGGGGCAATACGTATTGCCAACGCATCTTCTCGAGACGGCTTGCTGAAGGCTGTATGTCCTGGAGACCATGAACGAGTACATTCAATCACTGTTGGAGGGGAGGATCGTACGTGAATTGTTTAACAAGATGTTACAACGCTTGACGTTTGCTTCAGGATTTCGAGGGCCAGAAGGTTGTTGAGAAGCTTGCCCGACTTACGTTAATTGCAGTCACAGTAAGTTGACCTCGTCTCGTTCTTTCTACGATAGTGAACAACGTTGCTCTCTAGGCCGTTTCTTTCATTCTGGGCTTCGCGCTCCAGTCACTTCGTGTTACGTTTACCTTGTTAGGTGCTTCCGTCATCTTGCTTTCTCTGGTAAGTCTCTATGTCAGCTTGTTCGGGTTTCTGTCAGGGCCCACGAACTGTGTTTCTAGGTGGTCCTTCCTCCGTGGGGAGCTTATAATCGTCACCCTGTAAAGTGGTTGCCTCCAATTGAGAAGAAACCGGCGGCCATCTCATAATGATACGTTGTGGTTTCCTTTCGTGTTTGCAAAGCTACCATTTGTGCACATCATCCTCTGCGTGCTCTGCATGAGTTATCTTTCAGTCACCTGGACTCTTTAGGACCCCCTATTATGAGTAGGATACGAACTTTGCTCAGTTTGCTTTCAATGTTGTCCGTCGAACGGGTTCGGAATGACGGTCCAGATTGGAGCAATTCTCATTGATCTTCAACCCTATCAACTCTAATATATCGATTACCTTCTCTTCTTATACTGTAGACGAATGTACGAAGCTGAATGGATGGAAGTATTTTACGTACGATCATATAATTCCAAGCGTGTGAATGGTCTGGACCGCTTTGACAAGAATAGTGAGCAAGGTAGCCGCCCGCACACTCCCTCATTGTCGACGTCGTCGACAACGTTCTCGACGCATATCCAGCACGGGCTGCATTCACCGTCGTCGTCGCCACCTTGTACCACCACCAGACGCTGGGTGTCCGCATTCATCGCTTCGTCTCCTAATTGCTTTTCATAGCGGACCTCCGTCTTCTTTCCACTCGCTCACCTTCATTCTTCAACAACAAGGTTCTCTCGTCAGAATCTTGGATGGCAACCTCGACATATCCAACTTCCCTTGCTTCTCAGCACCACGATCAGGATCTTGGCGCCATCACCCCTTCACATGGTGGCATGGTCCCAGGACACGAGTTCGACATGCCTATCTTGCCTCAGCAGATTCCACCACAAACTCAAGCTCAACAGCGCACGCCGTCAGTTAGGGTTCAACCACCACCGACACCATTGAGCGCGACCCCTCAAGCGGTCCCAAGACGTGCTCCAAGTTCCACCAGACAGCGGCCGGTGTCCATGCCCCCGCAGTCACATTCGACCCCTGCCTCTTCCGATCGCGAACGCCAGAATGGCGAGGAGAACGGAAAGCGCGGAGATGGGCCTTCAAGCAAGCCACGCAATTCTAATAGGATCCTGGGCGACTACACGCTGAGCAAGACGTTGGGCGCGGGAAGCATGGGCAAGGTCAAGCTTGCGCATCACAACGTGACGGGCGAGAAGGTGTGCAGTTTGCCTCTCTGAGCTGCTACTGTGATTGATACTGTTGCAGCTTGCAGTCAAGATCTTGCCGCGGATTGTGCTCGGGAGCGGGACAACGACGAACGCGAGCAACCCTGAAGCGGCCGCGAAACAAGCGTCGAAAGATGCGTCAAAGGAGATCCGCACCCTTCGGGAGGCAGCACTCTCGATGCTTCTTCACCACCCGTACATATGCGGGATGCGCGAGATGATTGTGCATCAGCATCACTACTACATGGTGTTTGAGTACGTCAACGGCGGACAGATGTTGGACTACATCATCTCGCACGGACGACTGCGGGAACGGGTTGCTCGAAAGTTTGCTCGACAAATTGGGAGTGCATTAGACTATTGTCACAAGAATAACGTCGTTCACCGAGGTACGCTCATCTTACGCTTGCATATCTCACGGTCTCATCCTTCGTAGACCTCAAAATCGAGAATATTCTCATTTCGCAGACGGGGAACATCAAAATCATCGACTTTGGCTTGTCAAACCTGTACGATCCCGCCAAGCACCTGTCTACCTTCTGTGGTTCCTTATATTTTGCCGCTCCTGAGTTGCTGAATGCGAAGGTGTACACTGGACCGGAAGTCGACGTATGGAGTTTCGGCGTCGTGCTGTATGTTCTCGTCTGCGGCAAGGTTCCATTCGACGACCAGAGTATGCCAGCCCTACATGCCAAGATCAAGCGCGGCTTGGTCGAGTACCCCGTCTGGCTGAGTGCGGGTACGTTCGCCTTGCGATCCGAGTGACATCATATTAACTTCTTCTATAGAATGCAAGCATCTCCTAACCCGAATGCTGGTCACAAATCCGGCTGCGAGAGCGACGCTTACAGAGGTTCTGAGCCATCCATGGATGCAACGGGGGTATCGCGGGCCGCCAGATTCACATCTCGTCCATCGCGAGCCTCTGCGGGCAGATGAGCTCGACAGGAACGTCATACGGGGTATGAAAGGTTTCGAGTTTGGCACAGAAGATGAGATTGAGCGCAAGCTGGTTGAGGTCCTCGAGTCAGACGCATACTTCCGAGCTGTGCAGCATTGGGAGCGGAAGCGAGCGATGGCAAATGGCCGGGGCAAACCCTGGGGCGAGTCTATGTCTAACTCAAGTCTCGCAGTGTCGTTTGACGGCACGACATTGTCATCCTCGCCTACCAATGGGTCACGATATGATCACAACGGCATCTCCTCGTCGCCATCGAAGAAATCGCGCAGGTTCTCTGGCTTCGATTTTTCCACTTACCGCAAGAAACTGTTCTCGCCTTCCTCGTCGCCACCTATCACACCGACGCACTCTCCACCTACGTCTCAGTCTCACCTTTCGCATTTATCCCTTACAGACGCCTCGCAACGTGAACCACCGGACCCGACATATGGTTTCCACCCTCTGATCTCGATATACTTCCTCGCCCGCGAGAAGATGGAGCGTGAACGGGTGTATGGACCTGGGCACTTTGCTTCTTCACAACTATCTCTCGAGACCCGCGGCGAAACTCCAGGTGACCAGGCCGTGGCTACTCCCTCTACACACCTTTCACAACCCCATCTGCCTAAGAACGGTGCTGCTCCTGGTAAACCTGATTACAGCATGCCTTTGCCACGACTACCAGCCCCCGAGACCTCTCATTATTCAGGAATGTCCTATGAACCTAATGCCACTGCCCCTTCACCTACTGCAGCCAACTTCCCTCAACCTAGAGCTAGAGATCCCGCTCTCGCCACACTCACCATCCCCAAACGTCAAATTCCTGATACCAATAGTGTCCCTAACTCACCTGCGAAGGGGAATCTTGCGAATCTGCCACGAGCACCGCCGGCGTCTACACATAAACGCAGCCATAGTCTCAGTCAACGGCCGAATGTGGCGAGAGGCTGGACTGGCATGTTTGGTGGACATCCGGAGACCGCGGTGGAGGAGGTTGATGAGCATGGTACAATCCGACCTAGGAGGGTAGACATGCATGAGCCTCCACGGACAGCTGGCCCTGAATTCAGAGGGTTTGCCGACCAGCAACAACAACAGCAAGCGAATCAGGAAGATTACCGCTTACCTGTGCCTATGTCTGCTGGTGCGACGCTTGTCAGGAAATTTGGTAGTCTTTTGGGTGGAGGTCGTGATGGCACGAGCACGAAGCATGGCACTATCAGGAGGCCTAGTATCTTCTCTGGCGGCTTCTCTCCGAGACCTTCCGCTGAAGTCGAGGAGAAGAAAGAGGACCATGAACACTCGATAAGTAATGGCGTGACACCCGAGAATGAGAAGGAGAAACCTTCTGTTGTCCAAACCGGGAGTGATACAACACCAACACCATCCCCTGCTGCGATCACCCACTCTCAGAGTCAACCCATCGGCACCACGCACCGTCGTGCAGCGACTGTCATGGATCATGCATCAAGAACCACTAGACATGAGCGGAGAAGCAGTACCGGTGCGGCACTGTTCTCGAACGTTGGTGGAACGATTGGTAGACATCGCAGACCATCTACCGGCGGCTATGACTATGGTCAAGGGAGACAGTCTACAGGCGAGAGGGCATTTGGCAGAACAGATGAGATCGATGAAGGCGCAGAGGTCGTAGAAGAAGAGGATGTGAACGCAGAACATGGCGTTAGCACGAACGGCTCTGACAAGGACGTTAACCGGGGTGATGGCTCCGGGGACGAGAAGGAGTTTAAGCCTGTATTCCTCAAGGGTTTGTTCAGGTACGTTTTTGTTGTCTTCGTTATCGAGCTTCCTGTTGTTCTGTTACTCATCAGCCCTTATCCGCACTTACAGCGTGGCAACGACCTCAACCAAATCACCAAATGTCATCCAAGCGGACATACGTCGTGTCTTGGATCGTATGCAAGTCCAGTATCGTGAAACAAAGACTGGATTTGAATGCATTCACATGCCTTCCATCGACGTGTCTTCCGTCCAACCGCCTGAGCCTTCTGCGCCACGGCGTAGTCAACATCGGAAACAAAGCTCCATCGGCTCGCACGATACAGACGGGGCCAGGAAATCCATCGCTCGCAAGACCTCCAAACTCTCGTTCGGTATGAAGAGCAAGGACAAGGACAAGGACCGTGAGCACAACAAAGATAAGGAACTGCCGAGTCGACCTTCGGGTGGGACCGTGCTTAGTATGACACCAAGCAGTCACTCGTCATCCTTCTTCCATGTTTCCTCCAATGCACATACGGTCGAGGCCATGAGGTCAGACGCCCTGGACATGGCTTCTTCTCCTGAAAACGACCATCCGCTTCGATCCACACCGGCTGGTGCCTCCAAAATTCTTCCGCCAGTGCCACGAGACTTCGCTGGTACTTCACCTCAGAGTGCTCAGACTCCTTTCCCTACCGGTGAAGTTGACCCAGACGTGTTCGAGTCGATTGGTAAGAACTCGCTCGCCGTACGGTTCGAGATCAATTTGGTTAAGGTACGTCGACCTTTTGGTCTTCCATTACTGACGTTATCTCACCGTCGGACGATGTAGGTGCCTTGGCTTCCATTACATGGCATACAGTTCCGACGTTTGAGTGGTGATGGGTGGCAATACCATATGCTGGCACGAAGAGTGCTTACAGAATTGAAGCTATGACGATATCACGTTTTTATGGTTTTCCTTCCTCTCATTGTTAATATCATGGTGTCTCAGGTCTTGCGGTTTATAGTTTACTTGTCTCCTTTTTGATCTCTCCATTTTCCGAATCCTACAATCATTTATTACCTCTTCTCTCGATGTCATCGAATACTCATACAATGTTTTCGCTCTGTTTCTTTTTATTGGTCCTTGGGTCGCTTGATTGCGCTATTAAGGTGTTCATTTTTTGGCTGGCTTTGCTTTCTTCTGGTCTAGACCGGCTCGTCCTCTCGTTATTTTCCATTCATCAAATATGATCCACGATTCAAGAAGGCAACTCTCGTCATACCTACTTGACACAATTAACGCTTTTCGATTAGTAATAAGAGATGTAACTTATGTCGAATACGTTCTACAACGGACAATTTGCAGGATATAAGAAGGCTGCTCAAGTATGAAATTAGTAGCAAACGTCTCCATTCGAATGCTTCCATTTTAATAGGATTGCGCAGGTTAATTATATTGACGAGGTGATCCTGCAGGGCCGTTTTCCGGGAAGTTGTTTCATTAGGATATGCTGGGAGCCTGCGTCGCAGTGCTGAACATGTCAGCATCTAGTGGACGATACCTACAAGGCTCGATTGCGCTTATGAGAAGATAAGTTCCTGCTAACCAGCTGCATCTCTTGCCGGCCTCTGATGGATTGTAGACAACACAGCTTTGAATCGGCGCGTTTTAAGAGACGAAGACATGTACAAAAGGCGTAAGGCTCTGTTGAAGGGAGTACAAGACGTTAAAAGGTATTTTCCGCATCATTGGATTAATACCCATTTCCCGTAGACAACGGAAGCTATTTCAAGTTGCTTGGAATGCGGCGTTTTTGTAGCGCTCCAGTTTTCCGGTTTCTCCAGGGTTTCACAAGAAAACGCCTAGGCTATGGGTCAGTTCAACGGCAAAGCACTTTGGAATGCGGCTCGCTGACAGTGAGAGTCCGACGCTTCTAATCAGAGCCATTCGTGATCATCCAGTCATGAAAGAAACATGGGTCATGGCGAAAGTCGGTCATTCATGTGACCTAAGAGATAAGATAGCGATTCACGTATTTCAAAAGCAAGCGTAGAACAGTTCAACTTAACGTGCTAACCTTGTGCTAACCTGCTCTGAGTACGACACCAAATTCAAATTACTCCGCCGAATGACATTTCTACTATTAGTAATTGCAGCTATTTGTGGAACAATACTATGGGCCACCCTTTGAGAATGGCCAGCACACGAGTTTCCCTCTCTGAAGGCTAATTTCAGTTTTGCAAGCCAGTTACGAACAAACCTTGGAGCGTTCTCGGAGCAGGAGAGCTTGCAGCGTCTCTGCCATCCTAATCCAGAGCCACGGCCACCTTCAGCCGATTCTTTTGCTAATGTGGCCTATCATTCCTGAAATAGTACTAGTGATTTCAAGGCAATGGCGAGGCGCATTGAGGTATGTCAGTATGTAAATGCCATGTTCTAGGATCCGAAGAAAAGGATTGGATGGAGATAACAGCGACGAAGGACGCCAGCGCAGCAAATATGTACGGTAGAGTTCAGCGCTCATGCCAGTGGCTTGGTGATCATTCTAACTTGATCACAGCACCTTCCACTTATGGACGTTGTATTTTTAGCACCACTGCGGGGAGCTGCACTTGCGCAGGGTGTCTAGCTACACTGTTCCTGTGGACATCGGCTCGAAATGTCAAGCGGGGTGCATGGGTCCTGTCAATATTTGCGAAACCGCGGTCTGTCATTAAATGATGAACGTTAACTGCGCGGGGCTTTTCTCGTATTCCTCCACCATTAAAAGTGTACTTAAGGTCAGAACGTGTTTTCTGCATTGCATCAACCGCCATTCTTTCCCCCCGTTTCTTACCTCTTACCTTTCCCAAGCTCATTACCTCACAGGATTATGGGTCTCGATACACGAGGAGACATTTCCATCGTGGAAATCATTTTCTACATTCCCATTCTCGCTACCAGCTTGATTATCACGTTGCGACATGGTTTCTCTCGTCGAGCTGGCTGGATTTTCCTTCTGATTCTAGCTATTAGTGCGTACAGTTGAATCCATTTACCTTCTGTCGCACGTTCATTGACCGTACCTGACGATAGTCCGTATTGTTGGCTCTGCAATCCATCTTGCGTCTGAGAATAACCAATCAAACACAACGTTGCGGATAACGTATAGTGTCCTTGAAGCCGCCGGCCTATCCCCATTAATCGTCGCGACTTTGGGATTCTTGAATACTATGTGATTTATTCGTGGTTCTCCTCCTGCAAAGGATGCTCATCGGGTACATTTCTAGTGCCCTACATGCCTTCGACGGCGATCGAGCGGTGACCCTGATCCTCCGTTTATTGGGCACAACGTCTATCGTTGCGCTCGCACTGGTGATCGCTGGAGGCATCAAACTTGCCAATGCCGATAACGATATTTCGAAACTTAACTCAGCCTCAACACTTAGACATGTCGGAGCTATTCTTTTCCTGGTTCTGTTCATCTTCCTGGCTCTACTGCATCTTTACTACTGGGCACAAAGAGATAGAATCATGGAGCATAGGCGAAAGGTCATTCTTCCACAACTTTCCTTTCTCTATATCATCACTCACTTCGTCTCGTGCCTAAGCTTCTCATCGGCATTTCGCTCGCGCTTCCCTTCCTCGGCGTGCGGGTGATATACGCTGTACTCTCTTCCTACGCACCTGTGGATCCGAACGATACCAACGGGAGCCTTGCTAAATTCAGCACATCCACTGGTGCCTGGGCAATATACCTCGGGATGGCCGTCATCATGGAGTTCATCGTCGTGTTGATTTATACATTCTGCGGCATCACGATCCCAATGTTAAATGATCACAAGCAAGGGTCGACAACAAATGACTACATGGAGAATGGGAGTTACGATTGGAGCGAACCCATGAGCAGGCGGAACCAGGTGTGATGAATTTGTGGAGAAGATGTGTTTCAGATTTTAGCTACGTTTGGATTAGCACTACCGTATCAACTGCGTGATTCCCGTTTCCATGATAGCCAAACCTGTATGTATCTTTCCGGCACCGTTACTTTACTACACCTGCATACTCGCCTTCTCCCCTGCTAACCGTTTTACATCACAGCTACTGTATAAGGTGAGTCCTAAAATTTCTAGCATGCGTCGGGGACAATACTGTGTTATCTCGAACAGAATCTCTCTCATATAATTCCAAGTTTCTTCGTCCACCAAATCATTCGACACCCCTCCAACGGTGAGGACTCCTTTTCAGGAACCTTTGGAATCAACCTCGTCACTTGAATGGATGTGCAAAATGCCTCGTGAACTAAGTCGAGGTAGAACACGATGCAACTCCAGCGAGGCAGTTGCAAGGTCTTTGGGTCCATCATAAATAATGCGAATTTCCGTCAAGGATGAATACTCCGGATCGGAGTAGTTCGATCCATGTCCGAGTATGTTTTCAACCGCTCGGGGTCAATCTGGTTAAATTGGTCCCTCACGAGGATTGAGGTGATTAGAGGTAAAATTTCAGGTTAGAAGTTCTCGTCAGGCCATGAAAACCAGTATAAGTGCGAGTGATCCATCTTGGCACCATCACCATCTGAGTCAACGCCAGAATGGCAGAAGCGAAATGTCATAGTTTTTCTTATGACGGGGGTGTCAGTAACTTGAACATCAACTATAGGGCAAGCACTAGTGATCAGCACTTGATCAAACAGGTTAAAGATGAATCACACCTGAGTACCAATGATTCCGGACATCTGGTATAAACTCAATGTGAATTTCATGCAGAGAACATATGACCATCAGGTCTACTAAGACAAGAGGGAATGGTCCATCCCTGCAGGATTTGTACATCGGTGCGGATACGAATATGCGTCGCAGTGTTTGCGCGGAACTGGTGGATATCAACCATCGGTGCATGAAATTGGTGGTAGAATCAATTGGTATGTCGGAAAGTGTGAGTGTTCGAAGTTTGGGCTGAGTAGGCCAGGTCATTGCCGTGATATCGTCAGTATCAGGATTGTAATGGATGAAGATGTCGCCAAGGCGGACGTGTTCGAGATGTGGCAACAGGCATAGCAGCCCTTGAAAGTACTGATACCGCATACGTACACGGCATCCCGATAGGATGAGGGTATGGACATTGTAATATCCTGAAAGGCTCTCCAAAAATCGCAGTGGGCTTCCTTGCCCGACATTCAAGGGATCGAAGAGCCGTATATCTCGGAACTCCAAAATCTGAAGCTGGGATACAGCATCGGAAAGGGGAAGGAGCCGTTCTGTTCTTCCCCAAGCTAACACGCCGGACCGCCAGTGATCCACCGCACGTATATGTTGCACCCCTGGTCCAACTGTGGGTTCCTTCAGAAGCAAATCACACAACCAATCTGGTTGTTCTGGGTCTTGAGATGGATGGTGCGCAGGACAAATGGACGAAAGGCGGAAAGTAAGATTGAACAGACGAGCGTGCAGCCTTTTAGAGACTCCAAATCGCCCGAGAGGAACTCGGCGGTGTATGCAAGGAGCTCAATAGGCAGCATGTCCATATGCGCGAAGTGTATTCACTAATCACTATGATCGTCAGTCCTACGCCACCTAGCATATGATCGACCGCACTCTTACCAATGAGTTATTCGTAGGTTCTCTAGCCGTGTTGAGTATGTAGGTGAAAGCCCGCTTAAATGATAAGTGGGACTGCCAGATTAGTATATATACGCCGCCATTAGCAACGTTGATCACGCAGGTGATCATGCCAATTCTGCCATTGATAGCAGATTGATAGTAGTTGAACGCTAACTGCGGAGTCGAAGGAAACTGCTACGATTCCATTGCGCAGAATTTACATGACGTATGTCCAAGTTTTCTGGGACCTTCCAAGTTCTAGATATCGCTTGCGAGTAAGTAACTGTGGTCAGCGAGACCATCACAAAATAACTTTGGCGAAATCTGCTTCTAGTATATTGTACAGAGAAGGTGAAGACGAACGGCGGAACCGGAGGTAAGAGTACAGTCTAGACCAGTAATCTTTATCTGCAACAGCGCAGAACGTCAGCAGTTGTACCAAGAGAATTGTAGGATACATACAGCAGAGATCACAGAGATGATTGCAGTGTTGTGGGTATCAATCAGGGTACGACAATCGTGACGCGCAAACCTTCCTGTTTCAACGAGCCTAAATGGCGCTCCATTAAGGCCTTTCGCACCAACGACGACGTTCCACCGTCCGCACGATCCATATTCAAGGTATCAAGACGAATATCAACGGACCGTAGTGCACCTTTGTGCAGGGTCCAAAGCTGGGAATGCACCAGGTCGAGATCAGCGAATTTTAAAGGATCAGGGAACGGAAGTCGCTCGGGTGCAGGTAGCCGTAGATGAAGAGCTAAAGTGACAACGGACGGAGGTATCACTGCCAAGACATCGTACAAAAATTGCCAGCCTTCTTCTGGACCATAGGTACTGAACAGTAAGTTCATTCTGATTATCAGGGTCTTAAGATTGTTGAAGCCTGCAAGACTGACAGGCTCTAGTGCCAGGTCAGTTTAAGACATACATAAACGCAGTAGAATGACATACCGCTGATCCCCTTTCCAAGCGTCAATTGAAGGTGGACGATGGACAGTGCTTGTCCCTCGCAAATGTTCTGCAAGACTGAGGGACCCATCTGGTCCGTGAATAAGAGGGAGGCTGAGGGCGCGAAAATAATGCAGCTCGATATCAGAGAGGCCCAACCAGACGTTGGGAATCCATCACAGAGATTCAACTCCTGGACAGAGGGTGGTGTATAATCGTCTGTCCCCAGTGCTTCGATAGGAAACGAAGGGTGACGAGAATCTACTGACCCGTAGAATGCGATATCGCCTAATTGCATCACAGATATACTAGAGAACATCCGTAGAAAAGCACGGATCCCAAGAAGAGGGCCGTCGATTCCATGTCCACCATCCTCGGACTGAGGAACCTCTACCAGCATATCTTGGAGTTCCAAGAATCGGAGCTGAAATCGACCTGTGAGTTCCAGAATTGGTTCGTCTAACCAAGTGAACAACATCGAGTGGACCTGCAGGGAGGAGAGGCGAGGGAGTGTCTTGAGGACGTGCGCCAGTTGAGAGGAACGAAGGGTTACAAATACTACCGATGGATTTGGACGTCCTGTGATCATGATTCGCTGGATATGAGATGAAGCGTTCGGAGTAGTCTGATTCTAAACGCGCCCCTCTTACCGTTGCAACCACTTTCGGGCTTAACCGAGAAATATTCAGACTCCGCAACGCGTCCACCTAGGGCTTGCAGCCACAGACGCGTTTACCCGCGCTTCGTGCAGACTTTGTCAACTACTACAATGTATTTATGACGATCATACCCAGACTGCCTGTGTTCAAATTCGCGTCGTTCATTCTGTTTAGAGATTCTCGCTAAAACACCGTTGCCGTACCAACCACATGACTACCAGCTCGAAGGTGTACGCAAAGCGTTGGATGGCATCGACATCCTGGCCGTGAACCCCTACGGGATCCGGAAAAACTGGTTTCCTCACCATGTACATGCTCGTGACGCAAGCCATTGCGTCCGACTCTTCTTTGTGCCCACAGAAGCGCATGAAGAAATGAGCAATCATGATTGTTGTGTGCCCAACAAAAGCGCTTGAACATGACATGGTATGTGACACTTATTTTCCCATCTCTCTTTATCATTCAGTCGCAATACTTTCAGGAGCACAAGTTCAATTTGGTTGGACTGTCAACACTGGTAATCAATGCAGATACAGTTGACGAAGCTCAGCGAAGCAGTAGAGAAAGTAAGACACAGCTCTCGCATGACCTTTAAAATGGCATATCTTCTCATTATTTTCCCCTCGGACATGGAAGAGAAACCACAAGAATTGGCCTAGAGTCCAATGAGCAGTTTTGATGGTATGCAGAATATCATCTAACTTCTGTGATGGGCTCCTCCTGCGCTTCTTTATAGGAAATTTTGTTGGAGTGCATGGATCAACATTTTCCGGGTCTCAAAACTGCTGATTCGAGGACTTTCTTGGTGTCACAGGTATGGGGACATGTTTGAAGAGATGTAGGAGTAATTAAATAACTTGAAAGACTTGACGTTGCATAATTTGTTGCCGTAGGGGTACTTGGGGATCCAAACAAACCATGGACAAGTTGCGGCGAGAACAGATCTCTCTGTGGGATCGATGACTGAGGAGTCGAGGTCTGAACTTGCACAGGTGAACCTAAAAATGCTGGGAGCAAAACCATGCAGTTGGGACAGTAGAAACAAGTTGTTTCTTGAGGCGGTTGTAGACAATACATGGTGGTAGCTCGTAAAATTCTATCAAGTGTCCTCAGCCACTTTGCAGCCACCGGCATTGATCCGGCATGCCTGGCGATCATCCGGCAAGCCTGGCGATCACCCGGCATTCGAGCGCTAATCCTTAATGAACTGCAACGGTATGAGGGGCGCGTATTGAAGCAGACCTTTATACGGGTCGTCTCTCCCTCCCTCAAAAGACCCGTCATTGGTCTGCGTACCGGAGACTACGTTCGGAGAGTACTCCAGAAATTTTACGAAGGCGTCCATATTCCTCGACTTGGACGCCATACGCACGGTCAGTGCCTTGAAGATTGTGGACAACAATACAATCCGCCAAGCTTTGCACACCATTGAGCAACGCAGAACGACGTCCCTGCGATTCCGCAGGTGATCAAGAACGAGAAATTCCACTTCTCTTGGAAACACAGAAGACATTCTTGATGACAGATCACCGTGAGTGCTCAAATGAGAAGTTCTAGAAGACGGTGTCAGAGTAATCCAATATCTTGAACCAGCGGTGCAGCTGGCTCTTTCACATAGATGCTTACCTGTCTGCTGCCCAAGACTCAATTAGAGAGAGGAGTAGCACGACCTCTCCTCTCCTCTCCTCCTTCTTTCAAGGCACACCTTTGATGAATGCTTACGTATTTGGACGTTGATTGGTCAATTGGCAGACAGCAATATAGTCCGGCGAAGAGATGACGAATGACTGAATTCATGATTAATATTTCTCTATCCTGGAAAAACGTACGATTAATGAAGCAAGACGTCGTTGTCGTGCGGGCAAATGATGTATCTCTGACACTTTCCATTGGCAATTACCTGAAATATTGTCACGAAAATCATATCGCATGACCATAGCATATCACCAGAGCTCTACAGCAGAGACTTGTGCTATGGTTAGTGGTTGGGGTGAAACTCAAAAAGAAAGGGAGGTGTGAAATTGATTAAGGAACGTCGTGTAAGCGATGTATGAATGGGAAAGCATAACAGCCCAGCGATAGAAACTATGAAAGGTCAGGCGAGAGTCCCACGATCAATATTGAACCCACGAACAGGATATCGAGCAGTCTACAAAGAAGCAAGTGGTTGGTCAAAGCCTAGCTCGAGGTCTCTTCGTACCGCCTCCTGGAAGGAAGCAGCAATAGACCTATCCAAGCGAAATGCGACCTCCAGCCCTCCATCGTACGTAAGATCCCATTCGCCTGTATGCCTATCCTTGCCCTCTTTCCAAATCGGATTAGCAGGGAAGATACGGACATAGCGTTCGATGACAGCGCTCGAGTGGAAACGTGTATATTTGGAATCAGCGAACTCGGAGTCCTTTGTGAAGAAATCTCCCGCCCTTCTCCAGTCAACCTGATGACTAGAGTTGAAGGTCATCTCGCGATCGTTGGCTGGTAGTAGGTATTGATAGAAGCCCTGTTGGTATGCCGTCCGACATAGATCATTGTGGAACGCCAGATAGGGTTCGAGGAACTCAGGATTGCGTGCCTGTAGCGATCCCGCTCGAATGCTTGAAGCGATGACTGCGAGACAGCGATAGAAATGGATAGTTTGTTCACGAGGACCTGCGTTCTCGGGCAGGGATGGAAGAGTGAAGGATGGACAGGTTAATGTGATGGCGGCGTTGCCAAACATGGCGACCGGCGCGAACTGGGGATTACCGCGGTAGTCCAAGGTATTGACGACGGTATCTACAAGTTCGTGCCCAGGACGAACTTCTCTAACTGCCCGATTGTATTGCAGAACAATGTACGCCATGAGAACATGGACTTTGGAGAGTCTTGACATAGCTGGATCAGCAGTTGCCATACTTGCACGCTTTGCTAGTCTCTGGATCTGCGAAGCGGAGAAGGGGAGGTTGATGGGAACTGTCCTTTCCTGACTCTCGAGCATTAGTGGAATGAGTTCTTCAGGGCTTCTGGCATCCCTAAGATGTTTCATGAGCGGAAGGAACTTCGCTGCCATAGCTGGATCTGAAGGAGGGGGAGGGAAGAAAACCTTCTCCATCGATGGCAGAGGGAGACGTTCAACACTGTCGCCACGATAGAAGGTCGATATGTACGTTCCGACAAGGCTCGCCATATAACCGTCGCCTTCACTAGTTCAGTAAATGCTCATGAAGTGTATGATTTAGAGCTTACCTAGGGCGTGCAACCAACATGTTGTGTAGATCATTTGCCCTGACTTGTGTAACCTGGTGAGACGAACTCGGAATAGAGGTTCGTCCTCGTCAACAACACTTGGGAGTGGAATGGGATCTACCCATGGTTCGAACTCTTCAGGATCCACCACTACAGGATCGTCAGCTCTCCTCAATCACCGTGCAACTTACAAACCACTTACAAACATGTCCCATAGGGAACCGTTCAGTTGTGTAATCATCAACAACCGAAACTGGGACCCCAGAATTCGTAAGACGAAGGTAAATATCTCCCTTCTTTCCGCCAGTATCTGGGAGTTTGCACAGTCGACCAGCTACACCTGGGAGTATACTAAGAGTCTTTGCAACAGCAACGCAAAACCGCTCGACGTCGATGAAGGCTGGCAATACCCATGCACCGTGCATCTATGCAAAACACGTTATAAGGGAGATTCGACGGAATAACTTAACTAAATACCGTGAAGGAAAGAACAAGCGTATCGGTTGGAGGATACAAAATGACGTCCCGGCCTTCGCATCTTGTAGGACGAAGGGGACGGACAAGGTAACGTTGCTCGGAAGGAATTACGAAGTGGACCAAGGACATGTCGAGTAGGAAAGGAGGGGACTTTGTTCAGCGAAAGAACTTGAGCGTTGCCCTCTTTGATTTATACTCTCCGAGCCGGAAGTATGTCGGGGGGTCGATAAACTTCCCGATTCCAACCAAAATTCGATAGCTGGTCGCTAAAGAAAGGTTCTGCAGGTTAAGCTACAGGCGGTACACAGAATAAGGTTCCACACCGTGATAACCATCGTTCGACTGCTTTAAGCTCAGGCTCAGCTGGGGAGGGCGCGTAGGATAAAATCGTATGATAAATATCTCAATCCTCCTCTTCTCTTGGATAAAAGGAGTGAGGTTCCAAGGAACAATCAATGGGTACCGAATAATGCACTAATTAATTCATGGAATAGCATGTTGGGTGCAAGACCGAGGTTCATGACCGTAATAACCTGTCAGCCAAGGGCGCAGATCGAAGGACGTGGCGTATACCAGAGTTGGAGAGTGTGTGACGACACCTACAACACCGCGACATGGACACACTGTAAGCTTCTAATGCATAACGGTTGTGCTCCACTGAGTAGTCGGCCGTCCTTGGTAAGAGGCTGCGACATATGCATACGTAATGGATGCCAAGTAGGCCCTCTATTCCGCGGAGAGTGATCTGATGTCTTCAAGACGTATGGGTAAAGCGGTCTCCAGCTTCTAGTGTAACGGTGCCACTAATGTCAGACGTGATAGCACAAATGGAATGAACTTGAACGGAGTTCCACTTCAGGCTTTCGCCTATATACCTGCATCAAAGAAAAACAACATTCGTGAAAGCTAGTCAGAGTAAAGAGGATGATCAATTCACGAGTCGTCATTGTGGAAAAAGGAAAGACTGGGGAAAAGATGAGAAACTCAGGATCAAACTTACGCTCAAGCGCAAGCGCTCTGGATGCCGACTGATGCCGAAAGGCCGCCCAGGTAGGACCCCTGCTAATCCCCCCAAAGGTCTTATGCCAAGAGTGGTCAATTTCGGGCATGGGGGTTTGGGCCGTTTTGACCACTTTTCGGGCATCCGGCCTGTAGGGTTTCCAAATGTTGTCAGTTTTCGGGCCTGCGGCGCATAAGACATCCTAGGCGCTTAACGGGTGCTCTCCATTCCGCTGCCCATTTTCGGCGGTTATGCCAACCAAAACCACTTTTCTTGCATAGTTTTGGCGTTTCCAGGAGGATCCCCATCATTTTTTCCCTTCGATACCCAATCATAGCCCACGATGTCACGAAGAGCATCAGAAACCCTCAAAATTCGGGCATCCCACCTCAAAGTTTACCGCAGAACCTTCACATTTCGGGCATCAATGGCACATAGGATCGGAGGTCAAAGTGTTGAAATTTTGGGCATCCGGCCTGAGAGACCCCTCACCAAAGTCGCAAAATTCGGGCGTGCCAGCCTAAGACCTTGAGGGGGATTAACAGGGGTCCTGCCCAGGTTCAAAAGTTCAACACTGTTCAACGGCGCAGAGTGACAACAACTGACAAGCCTTTTGAGTCCTTTCCTCGATTGAACATATGTGCATAGTCATCGCTTGTCTATGTGAGCGTGCGCAGATGGACTTTATCCTATGATGGGTCGAAATCATCTAACAGAGTAAATAGTGTCACTCAATCACAATAAGTATTATGACTCACCCTGAGTGAGCCTAATGTTCTTGCGAAGATACTATTGAATTTTTACAATCCCCTAGGTTTTAGCTCCATCGGAGAGAAATTTGCAAATGGTGTAGGCTGCTATTCTCCGGTACTTTCTCAGTCCTTATGTGTTTTACCCACAGCTAGCGACTCTCCGTATCAACCATACTAATAGCGAAAGCTTAATCCTGATTTCCACAAAAGTATGGCCCCACATCTCAGGTACACATCTTATCCCTACCTAGATACGTATACTTCTACTTGCCCATCTGCAACTTCTCAAGACCGTTTTAGGCAAGTATTCTCTTCGAGGGTCAAGTCGGAAGTGATCTTGACTGATTCGAACATGGTAGCCATTTGGAAGGCTAGACCGCCGATGTCTCCTGAGTTAAACCTTTCTCTACATTAGTTCTGGGGGGCTATCTCAAATTCCATGTACGAGCGGCACCTAGGTTAGTATGAGGGACTGTACCGGACAAAACATTGAAATTGTGGCAAAACTTTGAAATTGTGGCAAAACTTTGAAATTGTGGCAAAACTTTGAAATTGTGGGAGCTTTTGAACTTTGCATGAAGTCGTGAGAAAACTGCCGCCATGCAAATCCGGGTACACCTTTAGAAATTTGGATAGGCGCTCAATTTGGGCGGTAAGGAGCTTTGAATTTTGTGGATGGTTAGAAATTTGAGTAGGTGCCTGAATTCAAAGTACCAGCTGCCGAGGTCAAAACGAACATTTGGCTTGACAGAAAATGTCCAGCCATAATAGGCTTTGAGTGAATATAGGTTGGCATATCAGCGGCACTCAAAGTTCTCATGTGTTGTCTTAGGATGGTTTATAGAACACAAAAATGTCATTAAAAAGGTAATACAATTTCTCAAAATGGTAATGTAAAGCTGAACATAGTATAGACGGGCAGGTCAGTTAGGAAAGAAATGCGGTTAGGAAAGAAACATGGTTAGGAAAGAAACGCAGTTAGGAGTAGGACTAGGAGGTTCATGCCAATACATTAGAACTAGTTGTAAGCATCTTGACCTAGCTTCATGGTCGCCATATGAATACACTTATTCACTGCAGTGACTTCACCGTCCTCCCCTGACAGTTCCACATCTAGAGACTATTGAAATACATGTCACGCGGGAGGAAAGCGAGTCATAACATTTGACCTCGTAGAGCTCTGAGGCAAACAGATAAGGTACATACAAAGATAAATAAACTACTTATATACAAAAATATGCCAAGTATGTGGGACTCCGTCCCGCTCCTCTCATTCCTTGCGCATAGCAAATGCTCGCCACTTCTACTATATTCCAACACACTCCCTCGAGCGGAGCATATGCACAACTTCCAAAACTCCAATCCTCAATATTAGCAACATACCACAGCACTCCCTCAACCTAGCATCCTTCCACTCTGACATCCTGTCGATGGCCCATGCCGAAACTCCGGCCGTATGACTCTTAGGAAAGGGGAAACATCGGTAAGGGGCGCAAGCACTCCCTGAATACGCAGGGGTCCAATACGAAGGTTCGATCTTCATCAACAGCTCTCGACAAGCTAATCAAAGTACATTTGGCACTACGCGGGTTTCGATCAGGGGTCCGCGCACCAACGGTCAACACTACTGCACGGGTTTCAATTGGGGGCCCGCCAGCATCCAAAGAGTTCATTCATTCATACTCGAGTTTTCGATTGGGGGGCTCGAGGTTCCGTTACGGGGAATTATGCAATTACGGGAGAATATGTGGAGTACACGGGGTTCATATGGTCATGTCGATAGTCGTAGGGCAATGTACATAGTCGATCGGGTGCTCAGAAAAATATGACAGTGTTCGTGCAGAGGCTTCGACAGCGTGAGATCGACAACAGAGGACCAGAAGGTTCAGCAAATGACGGGGAACATGTCGCACAAGTGGTGGATTCGGCTCCACCAGGGCATGTCTGTTAATAACCTACAGACTAGGTGATCCATTTGTATTGTATTGAAATACACATCGCGCGGGAGGAAAGCAAGTCATAATGTTTGACCTCGTAGAGCTCTGAGGCAAACGGATAAGGTACATACAAAGATAAATAAACTACTTATATATAAAAATATGCCAAGTATGCGGGACTTCGTCCCGCTCCTCTCATTCCTTGCGCATAGCGAATGCTCACTGCTTCTACTATATTCCAACAGAGATGACCTCAGGGCTGCATTGAACCAGATGTCCATGGTGTAGAAACAGGTATGGATAGATCCTGGTATGATATCGGTGTCCGGCTACAATAAAGGGTTAAGAAATTGGCGGCAGTAAGAATGATAGTACTTACATCATACTGAAAGATTCGCTGACCATTTGACATTCGTCCTGGGAAAAGAGCTGCCTGTGTAACATGCTGTTGTAGATTAAACTAGGAACACGGCATGGTTAGAGCTATAGCTACTACAGATAGTTGATGACTACTCACCAGAAAGCTCTGTGCCTTCGCAGGTAGATATGGTATGCCACTCATGGCCTTGACAAAGCGACGAGCTCTGAAGCTGGTGTCAGTCGCCACCTCTTGCATCTCAGGACCAGCAAGCTCCTGAATGTGGGGGTCCTTTGGATGACCACAACCTCTGAAGTACCTTTCAACCAGTAAGCAAAATTGAGGAAGGGCCCTCTCAACCTCTGCCATCCATTCCCGGTCACCGGAGATGACATAGATAAGCAAGAGTATGATGGCTTCACCATTCCTGATGGGCTTTGTGTACGCTGCGGTAAGAAGACCTTTTAAGCCTGAGGCTATCATCTGAGAACTTGTAAGGACTTCAGTAAATGCAGCCTACATAACACTGCTCACCATTCTGAAGCTCCAATCGCGCCCTTCAACCCTCAGATCCAGGCCTCTCTTGAAACACTGAAGGAGGGGTAGATTGTCAGCTTCCTGAGGTGATATGTTCAGTCCAAGGAGAGTGGAGAGATAGATTCAATGAATAGCTTCATCCCAATCCATAGGGTCCAGCTGCTGAAAATCGGAAAGCTACCCCCTAGGATTAGCTCAACTTTGAGAGTCTGCACTTGGGCTGATCATACCTGTTGATTGGTACCAAACTGCACCAGACTTGCAAGATCTCAATGTCCTATGCTTCCCACAGCAGGAATGGGGTCATTGGACCTCATCGGCAGTAGCTCCAAAGCAGCCACAGTAGCTGGGCAACTGTGCTGCAACCAGTTAATATTGAACAAGGATGAATGCCCATGAATCGCAGCCACAATGAGGGAGGGAGGAAAGGGTTCCGGACCCTGGCCAACCTTTGTCAGAATAGTGGCAGCGAGTACTCCCCCTGCATAGGCGTCGTCCTTTTGCAAGTGAGTAACCAGACCTGAGGAGTGGTTAAGATACCGACATCCATCTTCATATGGCATGTCACAGTAGGCGTTGGATCTGGATATGAGCAACAAAGCCTCAAACAAAACCTCACGCTCAACGCCAGTTCTAAGGTCGTCAAGGCCCTCTTCCCCATTTCTGAAAGTTGAACTGAGCATTAGCCAGGAAGTGCTGTTAGGAGAATAGTGAGACTCACACTGCCACAACCCAACCCCAGCAAATCAGATCACCAGCCTCAAAATCTGCTGGTACAATGCTTACAGGACCTGAAAGTTCTTCCACAACCTCTCTCCAATCGAAAGGTGACTTTGGTCGAGTACGGCATTGGCAAATAGCATGAACAAGGGTGATTGCAGCATCCCTAACACTGCAAGCTCAGATGTAGAGGGTAGGTCAACCCTCCTCCTCAACCAAAGCATCAACCTCCACCTCTAACTCATAAAGACCCAGGGTACGGTCGCTCACAATGCGGCGGGGCAGGGCATCTTGACGTAGCTGATATCGACGACCTAGCTGGTAGCCTGAGAAAGGGTCAACTCCAGGCCTAGGCTGAGCACCACTGGGAGGCTCAGGTGGGACCTCCAATTCACTGGAGGGGTCAGCTGGAACCTCCAGTTCCTCTGCAGGAATCAGTTGAAGTGGAGGCGGGCTTGGTGACAGAGCGGCAGGGAGGGAGGGAGTTGGTGAAGCAGGAGGTAACTGTGCCAGGGAAAGTTGACGAAATGCATTAAGAGGGGTGGACGACTCAGGTGGGGTTTCCAATCCAGATGTTGAGGTAGTTACAGGTTCCGATGAGGGTATGTCAATGTCCATGGGCGCCGGAGCTGGTACCTGAGGGCAAATGGTGGTGCAAGCGATGGAAGGGTATACAGGAGAATCGACAGGGAAGTCCAGGTGCTGAATGATCTTTCTGTGAAGGCAGTAGTGGGTTGGGCCACTAGGGCTGAGAGGACCAGCAATCGGACCACCTTTTGGACCTATCCCAGAA